ACCACATCTGGTGATGAGAAGTGACCAATGGTAACATTCAAAAGGAAGCCTGCTGAAAGAACGATTCAGGTTTTATCAATTGTGATAATCATAAATTCAACAGACACGTACAGTAATTTACTAGACCCATTTATAGGCTAGCTGTTCTCCCAAATGAATAAACATATTCTTCTAATAATGTGGCACTGTGAATATTTAGAGGAAGAAAGTTATCAACCAGTACAAGTTGAGCTGATGCCACTGTAGTTTTCTCTAACATTCTAGTACACCCTGGCTTAGAATTGGCTAATCATTGGCATCAAATGTCGATGGTATTTGATATTCTGCCTTCTCTATTTATGTCCATGATTTTCTCTCCTTTTATTCTTCGTTTTTCTATAGTCAAAACAAACAAACAAACAAACAAAAAGAAAAACTTAAAGAGAGTTCATTTAACCATCAATAATTTACTGAAGACCAATTATATGTGAGAAAACACTCTAGGTCCTAGGAAAGATATAATGAAGAATAAAGCATGGTCTCTAGCCCCGAGGAATGGGACAGGAGACAGAGTCACGAGTGGAACATTCTGAGAAAGTGACTTGTGGTACGATGGAGCCATCAATAGGAAGCACTTCCATCGGCAGAACTGGTGACCATGGAGCAACAGTTCTCAAAGTCTGGGTCCCGTATCAGCAGTGGCAGCATCACCCAGAAACTTATTAGAAATTCAATAATTGGGTGACACCCCACACCTACTGCATTGGAAACTCCAAGTGTGAGGCTGGGCAATCTGAGATTTTTTTCAGACCTCCCATATGATCAAGACAATAAGTTCTAATGAGCTAAGGCAATGTTCCTCAAATTTCCACAAGCAGCACCACTACCTGAAGTATTTGTGAATACTGATTCCCCACTGTTGTCCACCCTATCACCAGGCTGATGCTTCAGGAGATCAGTGATGAAAAATTTTCTAAAAAGTCCTGAGATAATACTGAAACTGCTGATCTGAGAACCATCCTTGAAGAACTACTGTCCCAAGACATCTGCAAGGAAGTCAGTAACTTCTCTCACTTGCTAGGTACCATCCTGGAGACAATGGAGAAAAATCAAGACTTAAATCATCTTGTCTGGTTTGTGGTTCAGAGGTTAAGTTTTAGATGAGAAGGACTGAGTAAAAAAGGAAAGGGGATCATATTTCAAAGGGCAGTAGCACTGTGTAAGGATTAGGTTGTGAAAAATCAACTTAGTTAAASAATAGTTTTGTTATAGAAAATGCAGAACAAATGTCGATGAAGTAGGAATTTGGGCAGATCTATCTACATATGGTAGAGCTAAAATTATTCTCTCACTTCATCAAGTTAGGTTAATCATATGAGATCCTGCTGCTCTGAATTTACAGGSGAAGATGCTTGGTGAATGAAATACTCATTTTGTCAACTTCCTGACTTTTTTACAAGAGAGAGAGGAGCAGACTCACATTTTCCTTTTCATTTCTAAGGCCTAAGAAATCATTGGTGTGACTTGAACCTACGTTTTCCTTTTCAATCCACTTGCCACTTTCTGCAATTGGGAAATCCATGATTTAGAGCACAGAGTTCTAAGTTTCAGTAGAGGAATGTGACAGATAATTCATCTCCAAAGCTCCTTTCAGCTTCTCTATTCAGGAACTTGATAGAATGGTAATTATGAAATCCACCACCCACCTACCTGTCCATCCATCCATCCAACAATGAAAAAGGAAATCTGACTTAAAGAATCACATAGGCAATCCAGTGGGTGAAGACACAATTAAACAGCAAATTCATTKCAACTAGGATAGATTTTTGAGAAAGATAAACACGCAAAAATTTTATATGAGCTGTAACAAAAGCAACTAATGCTGTTTGTAGTCTGGGGTTGGAGGCCAATGAAGTACTCTTTGAATAAAAACATTCAAGTGGATACCTAAGAGTTGAGATGTGAGTGAGGCCAGGCATGATTTGGAAAGGTTGCAAATGACATCACCCAGGCTGAATTGAAGCACTGTCATCAGGACCCTGACATAACCAGATTTTAATTTTTAAGGGCTCTCTGTGACTTCTATATGCAAATACACTGGAGGAGAAAGAGGCTACCTCCAGAGCAGGGATAGAATATCAACTTAATATTTCCACCCTTCTTCCGTTCCTAAAGAAAAATAACTTTGTATGTTTTACTCTTTTCATGACATCATACACCATGATTTCTGCTTTTATCTCATGTCATATATTACTTGGCTCTGGACTTTATAAGAACAAGCTTCACTTAAAGCAAAATCAAGTTGTACAGCAAAGATTGGCATAAGAGAAGTAAATGCACATCTCTAGTAATTAGAGAAATGCAAATCAAAACTACTCTAAGATTTCATCTCACTGTAGTCAGAATGGCAGTTATCAAGAATACAAACAACAATGAATGTTGTCGAGGATGTGGGGGAAAAGGTACACTCAGACATTGCTGGTGGGACTGCAAATTGGTGCACCCTCTATGGAAAGCAAGCAGTATGAGGATTCCTTAGGAAACCTGGAATGGAACCACTGTTCGACCCAGCTATCTGATGGCTCCTTGGTTTATATCCAAAGGACTTAAAATCAGCATACCACAATGATACAGCCACATCAATGTTTATAGCAGCACAACTCACAATAGCTAAACCATGGAACCCACCTACATGCTTTTTAACAGATGAATGGATAAAGAAAATGTGGTATACATACAATATGGAATATTAGTCTTCAAAAAGAATGAAATTATGGCATTTATCAGTAAATGGATGGAGCTGGAGAATATCATGCTAAGCAAAATAAGATGACACAAAAAAATGAAAGAAAAGACCGAATGTTTTCTCTAATATGTGAATATTAATCCACAATTAAGTGTGCGTTTGTGTTGGTTGGAGGGTTATGGAAGAATAGAGGTACTTTGGATTAGGCAGAGGGGAGTGAAGGAAGGGGAGGACATATAGGTGTATGGGAGTAGGAAGGATGGTAGAATGAATTGGACATTAATACCATACATGCATATATGACATATATGACTGTACATCATGTACAACTAGATGAAAGAGAAATTATACTCATTTATGTATGACATAATCAAAATGCATTCTGCTGTCATGTATAACAAATTAGAACAAACTAAAAAAAAAGAGAGAAATAAATTCTCAATCTTTGTGATAYAGTTTGAGTTGCACCACCCTCAAGTTCTAACACTCAGTATCTCAGAATGTGAATGTATCTGGAGACAGGACCTTTAAAGAGGAAATTCAGTTCAAATGAGGCCCCATTCTGTGTGACTGTACCCTTAGAAGAAGAGGAGGGCAGGACACAGATATGTAYAGAAGGAAGACCATATGCACATGGGGAAAAGACAGCCATTGGCAAATCAGAGTAGGCTTTTCAAGAAAGCAACCCTGAAGATACCTTGACCTCTGACATCCAACCTCCAGAATCATGAGAAAATAAAATTGCTATTTAAGCTATTCAGTCTGCAGTATTTTGTTATGACAGCCCAAGCAAACTATTATGCGTTGTACCCAAAAAAGAGAAAAAAAATCACAATGGATGTTCGAAAATGTATTCTCTTGGTGAATTTGAAATGCATTTATTTCTCAGCTGAAATTAAAGGAGAAACTGATTTATTAGAGAGTTTGGGGAGGGCAGGCAATGGGGGAAGAATCAAAGGAATGTGCATGCTGTGTAAAACCAAACATAGCCGTCACTTGGTGAACTCCCACATTGCACTAGCCTCTGAGACAAAGTTGTACACTATCCAAAAATGACTACACTGGCAAAACTCAAGAGACCCAAGAGTGTCATTTGCTCTGTCTCTACTATGAAGTCAACAGTCATCGGTATTCTGGAAGCCTGAATGCTTCTATATATATTCACTTTGGGAGAGCTTCATTCTGCTTTTCTTTCTTCTAACCTTCAAGCACACATCCCTAGCATACATCTACTGGTCTACTACATGTAGAACATCAACAAAAATAAAAAGAATTCTGAGATATGGCCCATGAGCTCAAGTCACGTCAGAGATCAATTAACATTTTCATGACATTTGTTATCTTCCAATGTGGCCTTGAGCTCAGTTTGCAATGGTTCTCCCAGTGATGGCGGAGTGCACCCTAGGTGGAACACATCTGTCTGCAACATCCCAGATTCCTGATGGCACAGAATACCCATCCCTATGAAGTCAGTTGGAGACACATACAGAAACACACCAAGCCATGGAGATGCCGATTTTAATTTTCCTTTTAAAAAAGGAAATTTTCCTTTTAAAAAAGGAAAATTAAAATGCATTTTCTTTTTCCTTGTGGTTTCTTTGGCTTTGTTTTTCATGAAAGCACAGCAGGTATGATCATTTTAACTTCGTTTCTGGCTGAGATCCTCTTTTGTAAACATTCCCTTCGACTTAAAATGAAAACTACTCTTTCTTTTCCAACAATGAAAGAAATACAATTTTTTTTTCCTGTTCTGCCAAAAATATCAAAAACACACAGCCGGTGCCTCTTAAATGCAAATACCTCCTTGACCTTACCTTTTATTTCTGGGTTCCTTGGGACTTCCCAACAATTGGTGTTTCTCTAAATATTTCCACTCTTCTCTCTTCTCCTAACTGAGAAATCCGACACCTCTCTTCTACAGAAATCAGTGTAAAAACACTCAAAGGGTTTGTACACTGTACAAACTGGGCATCTATGATACCTGACCGGAATTGGCACCATCTGATTTGGTTGATCTAAATACATAGAGAAGACTGGGAACTGGGTATACATATCATTATGACTCCAGTTACATAAGCACATTCTATGTATATATTTTATTAAGCCCAGTGTAATTTTGTGTAACCAAAGACACAGAGAGACCCACAGATTTGATAAGCTACTTTTCAAAATCTGATTTTACATATTCTATTGCTTAAAGCCCTAATGTTAGAAAGGATTGGAATTAAAAGGAACAATGAGGAAAGACAGGGTACATACAGAGCGAACGTTTTACCTGGCAAAGCCAACACCTCTGCTGACTCCATTAGCATCTCTCAGTATTCTTGTGGAGATGACATGTCCGAAGGGCTTCAGCATATTCTCAAGCTCCTGCTCATCCATAGAAATGGGGAGATTCGAGATGTACAGATTTGTTGGATCTTGTTCTTGTTGCTAAGGGAAGGAAAGAAACAAATGCAGTAAGTTCTGAATATTAAGAATCATCTCACAAGTGAAGAGATCCCTGCTTAAACTGCAATCTAGATTCTAATCTCCAATCCACTCTTCAAAGTGCTTTCACCAGGAGTACTATTTCTTTTTTACTGAAGTCCCTTTTTTGTGTAGAAAGTTTTTCATAGAAATAATGTCATCATTGAAAGTCAAGCTCTCTCTGTATCCTCAGAAAAAAGGAATGATTGAACTAAGGTAAATAGGAATAGTGTAGCCCTTCCTTATCCACAGGGGATTTATTCTAAGACCACCAATCCACCAAGGGATGCCTGAAGCCACAGATGTCATTGAACTCTATAATTTAATATTTTTCATTTTTTTTTTTTTTGGTGTTGCAGAGGATAAAACTTTGGGCCTCAAACATGCCAGACAAGTGCTTTACCACTGAAGCACATTTCCAGCCTAAACTGTGGCTTAACTTTTGTAGTTTGAAGTACAATACCAAAATTAGCAATGAATTTCTATTTCTTTTTTCAAAAATTCTTGGATTCATGGATAAAATATTTATTCTTATTCTAGGTCTATGCAACATCATGATAGGATTTATTTTTCTTAAGTTATAGTCTTTCATCTTTTCAAATAAATAAAGCATTTTACAGCTTCTTTTTGATATATCCAAATTATCAGCATCACTACTCATTCTTGTGCACTGAGGCCATTATTTAGTAGAACAAACTACTAAATATTGCCAAAGCTGATCTGATAACTGAGACAGCCACCAATGAGAGTGAGCAGCATATACAGCATGGATACACTGGACAGAGAGACAGGACAAAGCAGGATAGCAAAAAGATTTCATTGTGATCGCACTTTAAACTTTATTAATTATTATGAACTTTATTCCAGAATTTTCCATTTACTATTTTTTAGACTGTGGTTGACCAAAAATAATTAAAACCCAAGAAAGTGTTACAACAGATGGGGCATGGGGCTACTGGATTGTTTTCTAGCCACTATTGTTACTGTTTGCAGTCTAATTATCATCACCTCTAGTTATGGAGATTGCCTTTGAGGTATTGTTCTTAGCACTTATGAGCATTATTTCACTCAATAGTCTCAACAAATAAATTACCATTTTATGGATGATAAAAAAAACTATCCCTAAGTTGTCCACATTGCACAGATTACAAGTTTCAAAGCCAGGGCAGATATCTTGGCCTATCATCCAACCATGGCTTCTTCACTCTGCTATCGCCTTCTGCTAGACCAGAGGGTCTCACAGTGTGGTCGCAGAACTATAGCATCCCCTTTAGCTTCACCTGGGAGTTTGTTAGAAATACAAATTCTCGGGCCCTACCTAGAATTACTGAAGCAGAAATCTAAGTGAGGGTCAAAAAACTGGGTTTTGACAAGCCTTCCAGGTGATTTTGATAGCTGCTCAAGATTGAGAGTTGCTGTCCTAGACCAAGCATGAATATTTCTATACAAATAAAATCATGATGTCTATCATTTCTAATTCAGCAGCAATACTGCTTAAATAAGCTTTGCTTAATGGAATGGGGAAATAAATCACAATTGCTAGTATTCAATGAATGAATATTCTCTAATTTATATGTGAATGATTTCAAATTTAATTGGACATATATTGAAACTTAGTTGTATTGTCAAAACACAAGACAGCCATGATGACATGATTAATCATTAATATAAAAATGTATCAGACATTTAATTGGATCATTATATTTTAAACAAACAACAACTAAATTCAAGTATCAACAAGATMTTTAAATTGGGAAAAGAAACTCTGAAGTCTATAGGAAATGGCATTAAGTAATAATAAAATATCTTTGGTGATGAGATGATATCATACTAATAGAAAATTTGCTATTTCAAATGTAGTGAAAAAGTACAAAAAAACAAGATTCCAAATATTTTATTCAGGTTCGAAAACAATTTTGGTACAAAACAAAATGCCATTATTTTTAATACCTCTAAATATTTACATAGGTCATAATATTTTAATTAAGCCTTAAGATGAATAAGATCTATTATTGGGTTCATTTTTTAAACACAATTTACTTTCAAGCTGTTTGTCACCATGTAAAATAGTAAACTAAATATATATTCCTTTTTGGTTTTTGGTACTTGGGATTGAACTCAGGGCACTCGACCACTGAGCCACATCCCCAGCCMTWTKTTGTATTTTATTTAGAGACAGGATCTCACTGAGTTGCTTAGCACCTTGCTTTTGCTGAGTATGATTTTGAACTCATGATCCCCCTGCCTCAGCCTCAGAAGCTCCTGGGATTMACAGGTGTGTGCCACTGCACCGGGGTAAAAGTGAACATATATTCTTTATTTAAAAAACAATTACAGATTAATATTTTGGAATGGTATATATGTAGAACTAACTGTACTCATGAGATCATTCTCTCCACCCCCACACTAGCCACTATCACTACCACCAGTAAATTTCATGATCTTAGAAACAGAGATAATATTATCTTTAAAATTTAAAAGATAATATTATCTTTTCCTAAATAGTTGTGGGGCATTTTTTTTTTTTGAGGGCAGGCACTTGAGTAATAAAAAAGAAAAAAAAAAGTGATGTTTCAGATACATAATAATAAACCTTATGTACATAAAACTTTCAACTTTTATAGTTTTTCACTATCCATCAATTTTAATCTTCACATCATCACTTCAAATGTAGTTTGGCAAATTTCACAATATTTATTGGATAATGAGGAGAYGGAGGCATGAAAGATTCATCATCTTGCCCAAGGACAATCTGATAATTAGTGAGAGAGTTAGAATTAGATGTGACCAAGTTTCCTATCTTCCAGCTCAGGGTATTTTCTACCAACCCACTGTTACAAACCAAGCTTCAATCATTTGCATATCACATCTTAGAAATGTTTTGCCTGTCATGTACTATTTATTTAAAAGTTTTCTCTAAATCAACATACCTGTAGGGCTTAAATAAACTCATTTAAAAACATAACTGTATGTTGCTACCATAACTTAAAAGCCAGCATCACTTGCCATAAATAGAAGGTTACTAGAAGAACAGCAAATGAATTAGTGTTATTAAATTATAGCAAGAAGCTGTTTGTTTGCAGAAGGCTTTGACACTCCTGGTTAACTCTCTTCCTCTCTCTGTTACAAAGGGGATTCTTAATTAAGAGAGGTGTTAGAAGCATATTAGCACCAGACTGAGTTGTATTTTTTTTCCCCCAACTGGGAAGAATCAGAATTGAGAAAGAACTGACAAAAGGGAATAACTTTTGTGTGTGTGTGTGGGGGGGGGGGGTTATGATTTCTGAGTCCTACACATCAAGATCTGCTCAAGTTCCATGAAAAGTATTTGCTTGGAAAATCCTGCATTAATCAGAACATACCAAGGAGGGACCACAACACATGGCAGTCCCATGAATGGGTTGGAATTTGTCCCATATTCTGCACCCCTTTGCCTTTGATGAAGCTAAATAATCACAAGCAACCTACCCCAGGATCCCTGAATGCTATGCAGATTTTGTCATTGTCCCTAGGCAGTACTACATTACTTTATCCTTATTCAAATCCATTTCCTAATTCCCTATGTGCTGAATTCGTTGCAGTGACTCAAAGATGTACCATAAACATACAGAGCTTAATACATAAGGGATTGCCCAGTAGGCTATTTTTTGATTCCAAATTCAAACAACAAGACCAATTACTTAATTTGTATTCAGAGCAACAATATAGCATTGGATGGGGTCATTCCTTAATTTGTATTCGCAGAAAGAATAAGACTTTGTGCAGTGTTATTAAGTAATTCTGTCCTTTGAAATGCAGTATTAGTCTTGAATTTAGTTGACAGTAGAATTTAAGACTTACCTGGAATAAACTYTTAAATACAATATATCCTTATATTTTTACTTTCCATTTTATTTACACATATGACTTATTTTAAATGGATAGTCATTTTCAAAAGATTGATTAGCACTCTGAACCAAGGAACACTTTTAACTTTTCAGAATTTCTCATGTGATAACTGTAATCTAAAACAATGTTTTAATTTAATTTTTTTAATTACTTTTTTTAATCTTAATATTTCAAGAATACACAGATCCAGAATTAAGGGGGTGTTTTGCCCATGCCTGTCATTAAGCAAATGGAGAAAACAGAAGTTAGAGGACTGGTGATGACTTCCAAGGCCTTTCAACTAGTTGGTAACAGGTTAGAAATAGAGCTATGTCCTTTATAGCTGGGTAGATATTTTGTGTCTATTTATGACACTGACTTTACTCTTAAACCCCATGAATAGTTAACAGCAGGTTGTGATTTCAAGGTATGTGAGTTAGTACAGACAAAAATTAATGTCTCTGTATTTCTTGGTTATTTGTTTTTGATTATTCACCAAAGAGCATGAATTATGGAGAATTAAAGAGCTCCTAACCTTCATTATGATTTGGATACCAGGTATATSCTCTCCATACACTCCTGTGATAGATATTTCAGAGGTGAAACGATGAGGTTATGAGAGCTGTAGCCTAATTAGTGGACTGATCCATTTGATGGATTAGTAATTTGGATAGATGACTGAGTTTTCACTATTGGTAGGGGGGATGTGTTTGGAGAAAGTAGGTCATTGGTAATATGGCTTTGTATATTGTATATCTTGTCCTGGTTCTTCTTTCTCTCTGCTTTCTGGCTGCCAGAAGCTGAAAAGCCTTCCTCCACCACCCCTTTCTGCCATATTGTGATGCCTTACTTGGGTCCAGAGGAATGGAGTTGGTCAGCCATGAGCTGAGACCTCTGAAACCATGAACCCCAAATAAACTTTTTTTCCTCCAAGCTGTATTTGTTAGGCATCTAGGGAGATAACACTTAAACATCCAGGAAGCACTTACTGGTAACAAGAGAGATTTTAGAGCAATATTTCTCAAGCTACCACAGTTGGGGGCCATTTTTACTTCCAATCTGTCATGGATCAATATTCATAAAAACATAATAAAAAC